TCTGGTCCCACTCACGAGCACATGATGCTTGTTTCTGCTTGGCTAGGGTAAAGTATTCCTGAAACTAAAGAAAGCAACTGCTAGAGAAACTGTAACTTTTTTTTCCCCTTTAATTCTACAACAACTCTAACCAACTAAAATTCCAGAGATTAGTATTCAGTAGAAATCTTTTCCAAATCTTTCATTTAAACTTTATGGTTTAATTCAATCCTTAAATGTACACAGCTGATTTTAAATGTAATGTATTTAACCACATTACCAGATAACCACATAACCAGATTAGGTTCCTTAGTGGCAAAGAATTAGTTTGCCAGCGATTGCAGGTCACTTCCAGGCACACCACCTTGCCACCGTTTGTATTAGGTTGCTTCCCAGGACACCACAGAGAGAAAAGAGGTCACTGCTTTGACGACAAAACTCTGAACGTAGCTTACCTTTTGATTCAATGACATTATTATCTCCCATCTTCATGGCTTGGGAATCTGTAAAGCCAGAGTTAGGGAAATACTATAAATATGTTCATCTTTAGTCCCTACTAACATAGTATGTCCTTATACTGCACTGGGACAGAGGACGGGGCGTCAGATGGGCCGTGCAGGCTCACCCTTGCCAGAACTCTTTGCTCTGGGTAATCCCTGGTAAGGGTTTAATCTTTAAACAAATATCTCTAGGTATAAATAAATGACTTGTGTTTTTTAAAGAAATGAGTACCTTATACCCTGATTTTATGAGTAAAATGTTTTCACAATTATTTCAAGATAATTAAAACTATCCATCACCCAGTCACTTAAACGCTGTTAAAAGTTTGATATATCTTTATATAAACATACAGAATTTCCTGTATGTAAGTGGGAATCAAACTGTATAAACTTTTATAGATTATTCAGTTCACTTAAATTTTCAAGCATTACTCCATGCTATTAAAATCTTTAGGCCAGGCAGGGTGGCACACATCTGTAATCCCATCACTCTGGGAGGCCAAGGTGGGAGGATCACTTGAGCCTAGGGATTCAAGACCAGCCTGGGCAACACAGTGAGACGCCATCTCTACCAAAAATAAAACTAGCTGGGCACGGTGGTATGCACCTATAATCCCAGCTACTTGGGAGGCTGAGATGGAAGGACTGCTTGAGTCTGGGAGATGAGGCTGCAGTAAGCTATGATTGTGCCACTGCACGGCAGGCAGCCTGGGTGACAGAGCAAGACCCTGTCTCAAAAAAGTTAAAGTAAAATCTTTAAAAATATAATTTAAAATGACTGCTTAATGGTCCTAGTGGTTTTCAATTTATTTAAATATCTTGCGATTGCTGACCATTTAGATTTTTCCTTCTAAATATTTTCTACTATATATTTTATGTTTTGCGGACAAGATAAAATTTTACTATCTTTTTAGAGTACTAAATCAAACAAAAGAACTGGAGACATTCATGGGGGAAAAAAGACAACAAACAAATAATGGACTATTTTCACCCCTACACACCATTTTCTGGAATCAGACAATGGATTATCTAACCTAAAACTATACAGGAACCATGCTGACAAAGCTGGGGCTCTTGAATCAAGAAAGAAGTTGGCATTGCTGTCACTCAGCAACTGCTACCTGTCAACACGCTGTAGAACCAGCAAAAGTGGTTACTTTCAAAATGCTGAGCTAAAGATATGTGTTCTGTGTTTGTCTAAAAACAGCATACTTTACTCTATTATTTACAGGAACAGAAAGGACCATTTAAAAAATATATACTGTCGCCGGGCGCGGTGGCTCAAGCCTGTAATCCCAGCACTTTGGGAGGCTCAGGCGGGTGGATCACGAGGTCAGGAGATCGAGACCATCCTGGTCAACACGGTGAAACCCCGTCTCTACTAAAAATACAAAAAATTAGCTGGGCATGGTGGTGCGTGCCTCTAATCCCAGCTATTCAGGAGACTGAGGCAGGAGAATTGCCTGAACCCAGGAGGCAGAGGTTGCGGTGAGCTGAGATTGCGCCATTACACTCCAGCCTGGATAACAAGAGCAAAATTCCGTCTCAAAAAAAAAAAAAAAAAAAAATATATATATATATATATATATATATATGTATACTGTCAATAAGTCTGTTCAAAGAGCTGGATGATCTACTTTTATTTATTTATTTATATTTATATTTATTTATTTATATTTAGATGGAGTCTCACTCTGTCACCAGAGTTGGAATGCAGCGGCACAATTTTGGCTTACTGTAACCTCTGCCTCCTCCCAAGTTCAAGTGATTCTCTTGCCTCAGCCTCCCGAGTAGCTGGAATTACAAACGTGTGCCACCGTGCCCAGCTACTTTTTTGTAATTTTTTTTTTTTTAGTAGAGACGGAGTTTCACCATGTTGGCCAGACTGGTCTTGAACTTCTGCCGTCAAGTGAAGTCTGCTTGAGATTTCCAATGTGCTGGGATTACAGGCATGAGCCACTGCACCTGGCCTGGCCGACCTACTTTTAAAAATGTAATTATAATATGTATTATGAATATAAGTATATTTGATAGACAGATTATGACAATTTGACAATTTCTACAGGAGAAGACTTAGGTACTAAAGGATAGCCAGGAATTATTTATGGTAGATTACTGTAAAGGATACAACAGCCAACTTCAAACACATTATTGGTGCCAATGATCATAGGTTTTGGTTCTGGATCTTCAGTGTCAGGAGTGATATTATCCGGGTAACTGTAAAAAGAAGAGAGAAATCATCCAAAAAAGCAATCACACAATAAGCAATTTTCTTCCCATTTCAAATTTGGGTTAATTCTTTCAATTTTACCTACATCAAGCCTCAAAGACATGACTATGTAAGTTACTTCTTTCTTTAGTCTCACTCTATCGCCCAGGCTGGTGCAGTGGCACCATCTTGGCTTACTGCAAACTCTGTCTCCCAGGTTCAAGCAATTCTCCTGCCTTAGCTTCCTTGAGTAGCTGGGACTACAGGCATGTGCCACCAAGCCTGGCTAATTTTTGTATTTTTGTAGAGATGGGGTTTCCCCATGTTGCCCAGGCTGGTCTCTAACTCCTGACCTCAGGTGATCCACCCACCAGGGACTTCCAAAGTGCTGAGATTACAGGTGTGAGCTACTGTGCCAGGCCTATGTAAATTCTTTCTTTTTCTTTTTTTTTTTTTTTCTTTGAGGCGGAGTTTCGCTCTGGTTACCCAGGCTGGAGTGCAATGGTGCGATTTCGGCTCACCGCAACCTCCGCCTCCTGGGTTCAGGCAATTCTCCTGCCTCAGCCTCCTGAGTAGCTGGGATTATAGGCATGAGCCACCATGCCCAGCTAATTTTTTGTATTTTTAGTAGAGACGGGGTTTCACCATGTTGACCAGGATGGTCTCGATCTCTCGATCTCGTGATCCACCCGCCTTGGCCTCCCAAAGTGCTGGGATTACAGGCTTGAGCCACCGTGCCCGGCCAATTATTTCTTAATTCAAGTGATTCATTCATCCTATATGCTAGAGAAAGCTTGATTTTGAATTGAAGAGAGCTACTGAAAAGTGAAGGAGTCATGGTATGTAGAGAAGAACAAGCTACCTTAGTTTATTTTTAAAATTCAAAGTCCAGAGGATCTTCTCCAGGACAAAGGAAAAAAGATGCTAGCTATATTTTTAGGCTGTTAATTAGAATAAAAATCATGCCTAACTTGAAAATTTTCCATCCTTAATAATCATTTGAGATTGTGAAACATAAACAGATATTCACATGAAATAATTATTTGCTCTTAGCTAGTTGAAATATTTGGGAGATAAAATGTTTGTGTTCCAAGAGGAGGAAGCCATTTTTAAATGGTGATTTATCTCTGACAGTTGAGTTACTGCAGAATATAGCTGCTGTTAATTGACTTACACTGAAGGTGCCAAATGTATTTTAAATCCTAAGTAAGCATTAAATCAGTCTTTTTCTGACAGTTAAATATTTTCCCAAGGTCCTTCTTACAAATTCCATATGTGGTTGCTATAAATTAGGTATAAGCTTGAATTTCTTGCCAAAATTTTATCTAGAAAGAACTTATAAATGTTCGTGAAAAATTCATAGGTATTACAGTCTAGTTCACTATGATCATGTACATGTTCTAGTTTTTTTTTTTTTTTTTTTTTTGAGACGGAGTTTCGCTCTTGTTACCCAGGCTGGAGTGCAATGGCGCGATCTCGGCTCACCACAACCTCCACCTCCTGGGTTCAGGCAATTCTCCTGCCTCAGCCTCCTGAGTAGCTGGGATTACAGGCACGTGCCACCATGCCCAGCTAATTTTTTGTATTTTTAGTAGAGACGGGGTTTCACCATGTTGACCAGGATGGTCTCGATCTTTTGACCTTGTGATCCGCCCGCCTCGGCCTCCCAAAGTGCTGGGATTACAGGCTTGAGCCACCGCGCCCGGCGTATTTTCTTATTTTTTAAGCTTTATAGTTTAAAAATTGCCTCTAGGACTCCACATTTTTCACCTATAATTCTGGGTATCACCTGTGTAAAACATTTAAAGATATATATTAGAGTTAAATTCATGTGTTTAAGGCATGAGTGATAACATTTTGGTCAGAACCAATCCCAAAAAAAACCTCTCTGCAGGGTGGTGAGCGCAGCACTTGGAGGTGGAAGTGCTCAGGAAATGTTTGCTTGAGGAATGGGTGAGAAAGCCACATATAAGGGAAAGATGATCAGACCCAGTGTCAGAGATTCTAGGCAGCTACTCAGATCTCTCATCTTGGACAAGTCTTTTCCCCCATCTGGTTTTCAGTTTGGTCATTTACTTACAAAAGAGACCCTTAATGTTTCTCTAGCTCTAAAATAGTAGGCCTTCTGGATATCAGTTGAAAAGGTTCTTACAGACAGCTGAAATTAACAAAAAACATTACCCATGGTACTTGGTTCACAGTAAGTGTAAGAGTCTTACTCACGCATTTATGATAAGGGCCTGCTCTTCTATCAGGTTCCCTTCACCAATCACTATTGGCCCAGCTTCCGCAATAATTCGTGCTTTAGGGTGGACCACTGTCCGAGGTCCTGTTAAAAATAGTTGGAGAAGAAATTATTGGTGGAGGCTATGCTTCTAACAGGAGGGTGGGAGGTGCTGAGGATGGGTGAGGCTGTTGGGAGAAACATTTTCTAAGTATGTGCCAGGCACCAAGCTAGGTACTTCATAGATATTATCTCCTGAGCTTATTATCAGTAGTCCGGGCCAAGTTGCAAGCCAATGTGAGTAGAATGGCACAGGCACTAGAGCCAGACAGCTCTGGCTCAGCCTTCTCTCAAAGGCTTCCCGTGATCTCAGCAGTGAAACAGAGGTGATGACAACACCAGTCCCACAGGGTTGCTGCAAGGGTTAGGGGCGATAATGCTGGAGATACAGTATGTAACACAAAGTTGGCAATAAAAATTCCTCTTTTCCCTTGGAAAGGGAAGGCTCTCTTTGCTTAAGATGTGCTGCTTTCTTATGTGAGAGTACCTCAGAATTAGTCTTTTTATTGAGTAATTAAGAAGAAATATGGAGATGAGGTGGGCAGATTGCTTGAGGCCAGGAGTTCAAAACCAGCCTGGCCAACACGGCAAAACCCCATCTCTACCAAAAAATACTAAAATTAGCTGGGTGTGATGGTGTGTGCCTATAGTCCCAGCTACTTGGGAGGCCGAGGCAGGAGAATCATGTGAACCCAGGAGGCAGAGGCTGCAGTGAGCTGAGATCATGCCACTGTACTCCAGCCTGGGTGACAGAGCAAGAATCTGTCTCAAAAAAAAAAAAAAAGGGAGAAATATGGGTGGACAGAAGTCAGAAACTACGGGATCTAACAGCTTTGTTCCTCTGTCAGTGTTCCTATTATGAGCACACCCACTGAAAGGAGGCAGAGTTTCTGCTGTCTGGCCTAGGATATGATTTAAACCAATGAAAGCTGAAAAGGTTAAAGGGAGGCAGCAGAAGGACCCAAAGGTGATCACTGGAGTCCTAAGACTTTGGCGTGGGCAGCCCTGAGGCGATGCCTCCAGTCTCAAATCAAAGGGCACAGCCAGAGCCCTCATTACTCCCACTTCACCAGCACCACCTACCCCACCCAGAGCCTGGAATGCTAACACACTCCCTCCGAGCTTTATCTAACCATAGGCTGAGGGTTCTGGTGATAAGGAAACCACTGATGATAAAACACACCCTCCTTTAGCCTCTCCCCAGTATCCATCCCACGCACCCCTCAATACCAATGCAGTTTTTATGGGTAAACAAGTGCAGATGAAGTAACTGACTCTGAAAGTAAGGGAGGGTGCACAGAAGTGTTGATAGAAGGGGTGGGGGATTAGGAAAGTGACATTGTCCAAGAAATTCAGTATTCAATTGTGTAAATTGGTTTTGTTTTGTTTTTTTTTTAGAGACAGGGTCTCATTCTGTCACCCACACTGGAGTGCAGTAGCGTGATTATAACTCCCTACAGCCTTCAATTCCTGGGCTCAAGCAATCCTCTTGCCTCAGCCTCTCAAACAGCTGTAACTACAGGCACACGCCACCACATCCAGCTACTTTTTAGAGATAGGGTCTCATTCTCACTATGTTGCCCAGGCTGGCCTTGAACACTTGGCCTCAAGAAATCCTGCTGCCTCAGCCTCCCAAAGTGCTGGGATTACAGGTGTGAGCCACTGTGCCCCACCTAATTATATAAACTATCAGTTCATAATTATTATCTGCCTATGACAGCTGAGATGCCTCACTATATGTTATGAGCAACAAAAATAAATACACGTTATTTTTGTCCTTTTGAGCTCGTTATCTTGAAAACTGAGAATGCTTAATATACACTCATTCACAAATGTACTAAAATAAATAAAGAGGTGTTTCTGATGCCCAGAGACTTGGAGAGAAACTCAGGGACACTTATTATTTTTCCTGACAAGGAATTGCTGGGGGTTGATTAAGGAGGGTGGGGGCCTAAAACAGGATGCTCACTCCAACATCTCATTTCTTACCAGGATGCACAGTCTGGTAAGAAATAACAGGAGAGTGGCCTTGGCATCTCAGTCACTTCTGGCCCTCCAAATCTTCAGCTGTTAAAGTAAAATTTCCCAGGGAAATTCTCCTATTCAGGATGGAAGATTTCAGGATAGAAGATGGGATGGATCTCTGATATCCCTGGGAAGCTTCTGAAGTTGAACATGAGTATAAATGTGTGCATCTGATCTTTTCTTTAAAACAAACAAAAAATATATATGCATACATACACACATATTCACACGGATATACATATGCTTATTTATATAACACATGATTATTACAAAAAATTCAAAGCAAAAAGTGAAAGATCTTCTTAGGCTAATTTCATTCCCTAGAGGTAAATATTCTTAAAAGTTTGGGGTATATTATTCCAGATGTGAGCTCCACTATATATTTAAGATCTGTAAATATTGCTGAGAGCAGTAGCTCATGCCTGTAATCCCAGCACTTTGGGAGGCCAAGTGACCTCACTTGAGGTTAGGAGTTAGAGAACAGCCTCGCTAACATGGTGAAACCCCATCTCTAAGAAAAGTACAAAAAAATTAGTCAGGCGTAGTGGTGCACGTCTGTGGTCCCAACTACCCGGGAGGCTGAGGTGGGAGGATCACTTGAACCTGGGAGGCAGATGTTGCAGTGAGCCAAGATCACATGACTGCACTCCAGCCTGGGTGACAGAACGAGACTCCATCTCAAAAAAAAAAAAATCTGTGACTATCACTCCACATAAGCTATATCTCATTAAAATCTTAAATTAATAAATACAGCCAGGCACGGTGGCTCAAGCCTGCAATCCCAGCACTTTGGGAGGCCGAGGCGGGTGGATCACGATGTCAAGAGATCGAGACCATCCTGGTCAACATGGTGAAACCCCGTCTCTACTAAAAATACAAAAAAGTAGCTGGGCATGGTGACACATGCCTGTAATCCCAGCTACTCAGGAGGCTGAGGCAGGAGAATTGCCTGAATCCAGCAGGTGGAGGTTGCGGTGAGCTGAGATCGCGCCATTGCACTCCAGCCTGGGTAATAAGAGCGAAACTCCGTCTCAAAAATAAATAAATAAATAAATAAATAAATACAATTTAAAGAAAAATATGCATTTCAAGCACACACTTCTTTCAAACCAAGAAACAGTACTTCTGCAATTTGCTTATTTCATGGTACTTTTTCCACATATCTAGATAGATATTCTTTTTAATGTCTGAAAAGTATCTCATATTGTATTAATATGCCATATTTTATTTCACAGATCCTTTAATAATGGCATTTATTAGACATCACCACTTTTGGGGCTGAGGCCCTAAACAACAGGGAAACGAGCAATGGATTTCTTTTAAAGGAGAAACTGTAAGGCTTCCAGCTGTGGGAACCAACTGAAATTTGTAGTTTGCACCATACCAGGTTTATATTTTACGTCAAAATATTCTATGATAACAGAACACAATCTGCCTCTTTTAGGTTCTTTGTAATCAAAGCCCCAGCCAGCCCCACACCCCCCTGTCTAGAAAGTCTAGACACTGGACTCTAACACCTAAAGGCTACGTGCTTACTCTCACAAAGGTTTTTCTCATCTATAAAAAGAAGAGATTTGTAACAACCCACTTCATTGGGTTGAAATGTGGATTATATGAAATAACGTTTGAAAGAGAGATCGTGGGGTCTAGACCATGGTTCCTAAAACTGGGAGATTTATCATATTTACTACTAAGAGCTAACACATCACTTTTTTCTTTTACTTGTTTTTGAGGAATTAAGTCTTTACTGGGCTCAGACCAGGAGTCCGTGGGTCCTGACTTCTGCATATTTGTCAGTTTTCTTCTCCACGTTCTTCTCGGCCTGTTTCCGTAGCCTCATGAGCTGTTTCTTCTTCGCATAGTGGACCTTGGCTTTCTCCTTCCTCTTCTCCTCCAGGGTGGCTGTCACTGCCTGGTACTTCCAGCCAACCTCATGAGCCAGGCGCCCCAGATAGGCAAACTTTCTTGTAGGCTTCGGACGCACGACCTTGAGGGCAGTGGGAACCACCACCTGCTTTTTCTTGTTGCAGGGCGGTGGGATGCGGTCAAACACCTTGAGGCAGTCCAGGGTGGCCTGGCCTTGCTTGGTCTGGTGGGAAAGCATGCCTGCTACGGTCCACCAGAAGACGTGGCTGGGGGCCTGGAAGTGGTGGGGGCTTGGAAATGGTAGGGGCCTCGGGAAGGGTTGGTGTTCATCCTCTTGCAGAGGAAAGGTAGGTACTTCAACTTGTTTATATAGAAATTGCCAGAAATGTTGATACCCTCCAGCGCACGACCACCATCTTCTGGCCCAGCAGTACCTGCTTAGCCACAATGGCCACCAGGCAGCCCAGGAGATGGCCTCGACCATCAAGCACCAGGACCTGCACCTCCGCCATCTTTGGCAGCTGCCCGGGAAACAGCTTTTTCATAGTAAGCAAAATAACTAATTCTGGTCTGGGACACAGAAGAAAAAGAACTGCTTTGCTGCTCTACTCAGGTATCAGGGTAATACCTCTGTTAGCCAAGAGGAAAAATTCCATACCACATGATCAGACAGTAAGATCAATGAAAGTATTTTCCATAACTAGCTTTAAAAATCTTAGATACAGGGCTGATCGCAGTGGCTCACACTTGTAATCCCAGCACTTTGGGAGGCTGAGGTGGGAGGACCACTTAAGGCCAGGAGTTTCAGCCCAGCCTGGGCAACAAGTCAGAACCCCTTCTCTACAAAATGGAAAACTTAAAAAAAAAATTGGCCAGGTGCACCTGTGGTCCCAACTACTTGAGAGGCTGAGGCAGGAGGATTGCTTGAGTCTAGGGGTTTGAGGCTACAGGGAACTATGATTGCACCACTGTACTCCAGCCTGGGTGACAGAGCGAGACACCATCTCTAAGAAAAAGAAAAAGAGAGGAGGAAGTGATTGTCATGTCTGTGACAGAAAGCAGATCCTCTGCCACTGCTAGATAATTGGCCAGAGATACTAGATATTCTGCCAGTCATCAAGCTGTAGCTCTTGACAAGACAAAAATATCCCCAGGACCTGTGTGTTTCTTTAGATGTTCTTCTATAGTGTACTTCTGAAAATGAGTGATGGTTTCATTTCTCCCTTTTAAAAATGACTAATACATGTTTATTATATAAAGAGCCCAAACAAAGAAGCACACTTAAATTTTTTTTTTTTAAATTTTCACAGAAGATACCAGAAACACACGTTTTGTTTTTTGGTTTTTTTTTTGAGACGGAGTTTTACTCTTGTTACCCAGGCTGGAGTGCAATGGCGTGATCTCGGCTCACTGCAACTTCCGCCTCCTGGGTTCAGGCAATTCTCCTGCCTCAACCTCCTGAGTAGCTGGGATTACAGGCACGCGCTACCATGCCCAGCTAATGTTTTTTATCTTTAGTAGAGACGGGGTTTCACCATGTTGACCAGGATGGTCTCGATCTCTTGACCTCGTGATCCACCTGCCTCGGCCTCCCAAAGTGCTGGGATTACAGGCTTGAGCCACGGTGCCCAGCAGGAAGCACACATTTTTAAAAATTAAAAGAGGCCAGGTGTGGTGGCTCACACCTGTAATCCCAGAACTTGGGGAGACCGAAGCAGGTGGATCACTTGAGCACAGGAGTTTCAGACCAGCCTGGGCAGCATGGCGAAACCCTATCTCTACTAAAAACACAAAAATTAGCCGGGCATTGTGGTGGGCACCTGTAATCCCAGCTACTTGGGAGGCTGAGGCAGGAGAGCCACTTGAACCCAGGAGGCAGAGGTTGTAGTGAGCCAAGATCACGCCACTGCACTCCAGCCTGGGTGAGAGGGGGCAATACTCAGTCTCAAAAGAAAGAAAGAAAGAAAAAATGACCCCAAGTCCCATAATATCTTACACATACTTAGAAAATAATGTGAGCTATTTTAAGTAGGTATTTTGTTATTGTTATTACTGTCTTTCTCATTGTTAATAATTACTAAACAGGTAACTGGAAAACGCCTGGTTAGAAATCTGAGGGCTTTGTCCAGGGAGGGAGAGAAAGCACCGCCGCACTTAGGTGAGACCAGTGATTTAGACACCACCTCCACCTGCTGGCAGTATTGCCAAACTACAGGTCCCGGTGTTAATGCGACTGAAATAAGTTGAGAAACGATCAACTTTAAATTCTGAGGGGACAGTAATACACCAAATAGCTTCCCTCAACTTCTTCCGGGTCTTTTTTGGGGCATAGACTGGAGTGGTTAGCCTAAGTGTACTTCAGGATATGTAACCACTAAGATTTAGTTTTTTTTTTGTTTTTTTTTTTTTTGAGACAGAGTGTTGCTCTTGTTACCCAGGCTGGAGTGCAATGGCGCAATCTCGGCTCACCGCAACCTCCGCCTACTGGGTTCAAGCAATTCTCCTGCCTCAGCCTCCTGAGTAGCTGGGACTACAGGCACGCGCCACCATGCCCAGTTAATTTTTTGTATTTTTTAGTAGAGACGAGGTTTCACCACGTTGACCAGGATGGTCTCGATCTCTCGACCTCGTGATCCACCCGCCTCGGCCTCCCAAAGTGCTGGGATTACTGGCTTGAGCCACCGCGCCCGGCCGATTTAGGTTTGTTGAACTTTTTTTTTGGATACAGAGTTTCATTTTGTCGTCCCGGCTGGAGTGCAGTGGCGCAACCTCGGCTCACTGCAACCTCCGCCTCCCAGGTTCAAATAATTCTTCTGCCTCAGCCTCCCTAGTAGCTGGGACTGCAGGCACCCACCACCACGCCCCGCTAAGTTTTTGTATTTTAGTAGAGACGCGGTTTCACCGTGTTGCCCAGGCTAGTCTCGAACTCCTGGGCTCAGGAAATCCGCTAGCCTCGGCCTCCCAAAGTGCTAGGATTACAGACGTGAGCCACTGCACCCGGGTTGGTGAACTTCTTTTTTTTTTTTAGATGGAGTCTTGCTCTGTCGCGAGAGTGCAGTGGCGCCATCTCAGCTTACTGCAACCTCTTCCTCCCAAGTTCAAGTGATTCTCCTGCCTCAGCCTCCTGAATAGCTGGGATTTCAGAAGTACGCCACCATGCCCAGCTAATTTTTGTATTTTTAGTACAGATAGGGTTTCACCATGTTGGCCAGGATGATCTCAATCTCTTGACCTCATGATCCTCCCGCCTTGGCCTTCCAAAGTGCTGGGATTACAGGCTTGAGCCACTGCGCCCAGCCCAGTTTGTGTATTTTCTAACCAAATGTGCTGAAGCCCTATTTGGCTTATCTTCTTGTTTGGATAAATGTTTCTAGAGTTGGAGCTGCCTTACTGGCTGATGAATTATTTTTCTAAATGGTTGGCTGGGCTTGGTGCAACATAGCCAGAAAGATATTCCTCACATCCAATTTCCATTTCCCTCATTTGGTAAAGGACGGTTTTCCTGCCTATCTTTGTCAAGGAAAGCAATCTTTATGTACATTTCAAGTTGTCAATAAATAGTTCAAAAGGCTACAAGCTCTGTTTTTTAACAACTAAACCATTTTCTTGACCTGTAAGCTGAAGTTCCTGTAAGAGTGCTTTATAGGTGATAATTTCTCAAGTCAAAGCCACTGTTCTGCCTTACTGAAAAAGACTGCTACAATAAAATGGAGGCTTTTGTCTGTATTACAACTCTCCTAAAAAGACTGAGTAAGTAGGACAAAGCATTTCTAACACAAAACATTTCCACTGTGCCGAATTCTGCCTTCCCATACTGATGTCCTGATGAGTCCTGGCCTGGCCTCTTGCCCTGTACTGGACTATGGGACTATGCTTCATGGTACCTTTCAGAAGTGTTTTCAGGTCTCAAAAGAAAGATTTATAGGAAATAATTCATGGCCCATGAATTAAGGCAGACTAACTAAAAACAGTCTTGATGCTAGGAAACCTTATTTACCCAAATTGTAATTAACAAGAGAGCTGTGACTTTTCCTAAGCTCTGTCTCTGAGCAGCCTTGACTGAGGGGGTCAGGCTCCAGCACAGCTTCAAGTTATAAGGTTTCTGGTTAAGGACCATACTTCCAAGCGTCTAGCTCATTTCTCTGAAAAAACAAACAAACAAAAAAAAAACAAAAAAAAAACCAAATACCTGCTTTTCTAGGAAAACAGATTGGGTTTAAAGTTCCATTAGCCTGAAACATAGCAAAGGAAAACATTACTTTCTTCCTGAAATATTTCAGAATGGAATAATTTGTAAAAGTATACATGACTAGAAGATGGAAAAATCTATGTATTAAACTACAGTTTATTGCTACTTAACTCAGATAAACTAAGCAAAAACAACGATAAAAGCCCTAAAATGAAAAATAAAGCAGGGTGGGGAGAGTTGTATTCAGATGATTTATCTGCACTCTTCGCTTTGATTTTACTTCTATATCTCCCTAGAGCTTCTTAATCTGATGCATTACATCAGAAAAATGAGCTAATAGAAGCCAAAAGACTTAAGACATTTTATACCAAATATAACAATGACTGAAATGATTATCTAAATACTAATTCTGGAAAATTCCCATATTATACAGTTGAAGTTAAGAAACATACATAACAAAAACGAGACAAGAATTGTAGAAGACAGAACCTTAGGTAACTATATCACTCTTCTGAACCTGCATTTCTCCTCAAATTTTCCTTAACTTTTCAAATCGAGTTGTTTCACCTCAGTATTTGAGCAAATTTTCTTGTTTCGAAACACTGGTCAGAATAAATATAACAAATACTCACTTGAAGCCCGCCTGCCCCACCTACTGTGATAAATCACTAGAGATTTCTTTCCTTAAAAATGTATTACCACAGGCCGGGCGTGGTAGCTCAAGCCTGTAATCCCAGCACTTTGGGAGGCCGAGGCGGGTGGATCACAAGGTCAAGAGATCGAGACCATCCTGGTCAACATGGTGAAACCCCGTCTCTACTAAAAATACAAAAAATTAGCTGGGCATGGTGGTGCGTGCCTGTAATCCCAGCTACTCAGGAGGCTGAGGCAGGAGAATTGCCTGAACCCAGGAGGCGGAGGCTGCGGTGAGCCGAGATCGTGCCATTGCACTCCAGCCTGGGTAACAAGAGCAAAACTCCGTCTCAAAAAAAGAAACAAGTATTACCACTTCTAGCCGGGCGCGGTGGCTCACGCCTGTAATCCTAGCACTTTGGGAGGCCGAGGCAGGCGGATCACCAGGTCAAGAGATCGAGACCATTCTGGTCAACATAGTTAAACCCCGTCTCTACTAAAAATGCAAAAATTAGCTGGGCGTGGTGGCACATGCCTGTAGTCCCAGCTACTTGGGAGACTGAGGCAGGAGAATTGCTTGAACTCGGGAGGCGGAGGTTGCAGGAAGCCAAGACTGCGCCACTGCACTGCAGCCTGGCGCCTGGCAACAGAGCGAAACTCTGTCTCAAAAAAAAAAAAATGTATTACCACTTCTTATGATATAATCCATCATTGAAAATTTGTGTTAACTTTGGGAGGCCAAGGCGGGTGATCATTTGAGGTTAGGAGTTTCAGATGAGCCTGACCAACATTGTAAAACCCTGTCTCTACTAAAAATACAAAAAAAAAAAAACCCAAAAAGCAAAAAACGAACAGTAACAAAAAACAAAAAGGCTGAGTGTGGTGGCACACA